CGACCCGAACCGAAATTTCGGGTCGGGTTCGGGTTGGCCTATAACCCGACCCGACCCGACCCGTTCGGAGCACTAATGACCACAGAATCCAAATCCTTTTTTATGTCAGTGATCTCCTTGGCAACTTATATTATTTTGCAAATAAGTTGCATTAAAATGTGTTTCAGGTTAAAAAAAAATTTTTAAGCCCTTGGTTAATCCATATTATTCGTGTGTAAAATGTCTCGGTATACTTAACAATGCCTAGAGATGGCCTCCAAAAAACTTTTCCAAAACCTTAACTCTAATCTTAAATATTAAATCTAATATGAAAAAATTTGTGGTAAAAACTTTATATACATTTAAAAACATATAGGTGCAAAAACCACCATAGTTGCGTTTTATAACAAATATACAATTCAGCATTGATCTTAAGATTAACACCATTTACGTAGAGAATGGATAATTTTCTTTTCGAAAATCTGACATTCTTAATCATGTCAATCAACTCTGAACTTTCTAAACAAGAATTGTCGCAACTTTTTGCATAGGACATAACTAAGTGATAAATAAGGCTGCATTTATAGTCTGTTCAAAATTAATTTTCGTCATTTTAAAAATTTTTGTCATTTCTCTATTAAAATCTACCTAAACTCTTTTATTATAATCACTAACCATAAACCCTCAAAAAAAAAGTTTTAAAATTTCATAATTAAATAAGTCAAAATTTCAGCATCATTCAAATTCAGCATAATCTCCAACAAAAGATTACTCCAGGATTGTCACTCCGAAGTTCGACGACCACTTACACGATACCTAGTGCCAAAACGCTTACTCGAATTCATGTGAAGGTTTAGACAGGTATTTGTCAGCAAAATGTTTTACATAGTCCCAGATTTCATTTTGTTAACGAAGGTCCAAAAAATTAGAGATACATACCTGAACTTCAAGAGAGAGTAATCTCATCTCCAAATATAATGATACTTTCTTTGGGATTCTAAAAAAATACCGACGTGCTTTGGAAATTCATCGTACAAAGCTGAAAGTCAAAAGGCGTATCGAAGGCCCAAGTTTTACCGAAAATCGAAGTCCTATCGAATGTTCTACCGAAAATCGAAGTCCTATCGAATGTTCTACCGAAAATCCGAAGCTTTATCGAAGTAAAACTAAAGAAATTAGGTTTAGAAATTAGGTAAAAAAAATAGATAAAATTATCGTCTGTCGCGAGTGTCTTGTAATCATTCGTTCACGTGCAAGTTTAAGTCTCATGACTATGAGAATACTTATTCGACAGGAAAAATCTGTAATTATGACTGTGCGAAATTTTTTGCTAATTGCAAAGTGATATATCTGATCAAATTTTGCGAAAGGAACTGCTGAGCAATAACCATGTGATCATATTTAAACAACATGCATGAGGGAATTTTTACTCATTACCTTTACACGTTACAATACTTTCTTGTGATTTCTAAACACAATAAACCATGCTAGGTTTATTGAAATTTAAGACGGTGTTACATAGGATTTTTGTCACCTGATCTTATAAGTACCTGTAGCTATCGATCACTTGGTTTTGAACACAACGTGAAGATATTCAAGGATCGATCAAAGATCTCTTAGATCTCATATGAGTAATCTCATGT